ATGAATCCCTAACTCACCTTTGCAACACTCACTAGTTATGTTGTAAAGAATAATTTCCTGGGAGCATGTCTCTGCTTTGTGATAGAAGCCAAGTATGGATTACAGTCATAAGCATTTTAATTCACTGTGTATAGAAACAGTAAAACAATCCAAGCAAGTAATATTACCTATGGACAAGCAAATACATAAGCAAAAAAGTAAACATGTAATAAGCAACACAGAGACAAATATCAATGATTCTGCTGGAAACTGGATAGAGATCCCAGATCAAAAGCTGTCTATGGAGATTCTCATCTCTGCTTATACAGACACTCAATGGGATGGATTAAGAGTTTTATTATCTGGCCTGGGTAAACTCTAAGACTGTAACATCTGGAATATGGCTAGCTGGTCATCACTATCCTTAGTTTGCACTTTCCTATCACACCTTGACCAGGGGAAACCAGATTCAAATGGGAGATTTATAGCTTAGGATACCATCCACACGCTGGGTCCCATGAAGAGGGAGAGACACCATAGAGGCCTCCAAGTGAAGAGCATCAGGGAGAGAGCTTTAAGGTGTCTGCCTTGTCCATCTCTTAGCGAGCACCAAGGAAAAGGGTTCCTGCTGTTTAGAGTTGGTAAGCCTCAGTTTCATCTGCAGTGTGCCTGGTGTTGGTCTTCAGAGAGGAAATGCTAAGAAGGAGAGATAGATCTTCCTCACTGTTAGCTCTAGGAAGGCCTTGAAAGGACTCCATCCCTTGGGCATATCCATCTCCCTCAAGTGATGAAAGCTCTGGCAGTCCCCAGGGTGGGAACTCATTCCCTGAAAACACCTCCAGAAGGCATCACACAGACTCCTAAAAGGCATCACATTATGACAGCCCTGTCAAATAGGATCTAATCCTGTGCCCTGTATAGTCACAGACGTGCTGGAGGCTGCTCTCTTACTCAGTCCTAAAGGACTGTGTCCTAATTTAAGAGAAAACTTCTTCCCTTGTGGAAGTCCTCTTGCTTTCTGATGCCTGCCTAATACTGTTAGTAGCAAGGAGCACAATTTCTTCTTCAAGCTGTGTTGTTACCTTGAATGCCAGGAGCAGAACCGCTCAGAATTTTTCTTCTCTAAACCAATGAGAATGAATAAATAAGGATCCTGTGCAGGGCCTTTCAAGAAGAGATGGTGGAGTGCAGGCAGGAGGATTTAGACACCCTCGCGTGGCGTTACATTCAAGATCTTGTCTATGTGCAAAGAGGAAGCACACCTTGTATATAAAGACCAAGAAGTTATTGCTAGTAAAGCTGAAATCTTAATAGTCTAATTCAGAAATCATCATTAGTCTAGATCTAATTATTACAGAAAAAAGAATAACAACGCAGGTAGAATACTTATGTACAGGTAAAAAGCCATAGTAATAGCAGTAATACAATTTTAATTTTAATGCACACACATTTTAGTTTTTGCCTTTTTCCTTGTGTTATTCTCACCCTTCCACTGTTCTGGGTCTGAAGGTCAGTGGTTTCATGCTGGTGTTGGCAGGGGAAGGAATATTACAGCAAGTGGACAACATCTGGAGTCCTTTACCAGGAGAAATATGATGTTTATGTTGACAGGTTTTTTTCTTCCTTTTTTCTTCCTTCTCCTATCCTTTCTCTTAGATTTTTTTTTTTATACACACATATATATGTGTGTGTATATATACATAATACTGTATATACATATGTTGTATGTTTGCTAACATGCCTGTATACGTTTCTTTCTTCTTTGGTCTGCAGCTCTAGATTACATAGCACCATATATACTAAATTTGGATTCTGTATGTTACATACTATTTCTTTTCTCTTCTTCCTATCCCTAAACCCAGTTTTGTCCAGCTCCAGGTCTGCAGTTTAACTGACCGTTACTGAATTGTTTATAGCATGGGGTCTCCAGTGACAACCATGTGCCCTCTCTCTTCTCTTCCCATACCTTTAATCCTCTATGCCACATCTTGTGTCTCCACATGTAAGCTTCTGCTATCATTGCAGACCTGTATTTCTCTACTCAATATTGTATTAGAGTTGTAAAAGTCTCAATCTACCTGGAACAACTGCTTGTCACTGCCACCTATAGCAAACTGTGGTTGTATCACACAAAGATAAACAAAACAAATCAGATATAGGTATCTGGGTCATTAGAAAAATTCCTGCCACATCCAAACCAAGTAAAATAAAGCTGCAGGCAGGTCAAAAGAAATTAGGACAGAGCAGACCTGACAAGCCTCACTCCTGAGCCCTTGCAAACTCAATACAAAGCTTATGGCATGTTACTTGCAGTGACAATACTATATTATAGGGCTACAGTTACACTGGCATCGTGCCCAAGGAAAACAATGATTAGGCAAAAGCAAGGCAAAAACATTACCTGAACTCCCAGCACAGCTGTGAGAGCTTCATGCCTGTGGCCTGTTGATGGCAGGAGGATTGCCTTGTGCCACGGAGGGCAAGAGGTACCAGGGAGCAGCAGGAACAAGGCTCCTCCACAAGACAGATGACCCAGGAGCTGAGGATGACCACAGAACAGGCAAGGACAGCACTGTCTTTGATCAAGACACAGATCTGCAGTATCCAGACACAGCAGGTAGGGTATGGTGCTGGTAACAGGCTCTTTTGGTGTTCCCAAGAATGACAAATCAGGTCCAGGGTACACCAAGAAAGCTCAGCCAGGAGCAGCAAGAAGATGAGGCTCAGAGGGAAAAGTACAAGTTAGACCTGATGTTCACACAGGAGAGAAGGCCAAAGGCAGAACTGGAGATGAACTGCTTTTGTCTAAGATTCAGCCAGGAAATAAGTCCAGAGACCAGACTAGGGGCAGATATGCCTACAACAGAGCTCAAGCAAGAGCTACTGGCCCAGGTCTGAGCTTAAATGGACCTCCAAATGAATGGGTGGAGGGTGTGCTGATGGAGATCCCAGGTGAGGCTGGTAAGGTCAGTTCAGGACTATTAATGTCCTCAGGGGCCCTGACAAGAGAAACAGCCAGAGGAGTAAGCAGTATGTTTTCTTCTGCCTTCTAACAGCCTGTCATGGTTAAAGCCTATTTCAAATGCGTACCAAGCAAAGATTGGGACATAGCTGTAGATCTTGCATAGCTCTAGAAGCTAGAGGTGAGACTCCTCACTGAGACAGAAAGTATTGAAATTACTCCAAGTGAGAGGAAAAGAGCCTATTCCAACCAAGGTGAGCTTCCTCTGAAAACCTCACAGGTGTATGGGATGGGTTTGTGAAGGGATGAAGAGAAGGAAGAGGCACATAAATGGTTAGTCCAAGTGTTTGGGAGAATTTTTTGTTGATGACAGAGTGCTTAAAAGAGAAGAGAGAAGCTCTATAGCTTTGTAGGGGTCCGCCTAGTGCAAGCTGTCTCCTAAGTACTGAGTAGTGGGACTAGGGGTTGGAAAGCAGCCAAGAAAGCTGACAAGTTTGAATCTAGCTGTGACTCTTGTAGTTGAGAACTCAAAAGTTGAGGATGAATAGTAGTTTTTCTCCTCCCCAGGGGCCAACTTTGTTCTGTATTTGCTTTAGTGGTGGTTTTCCTTCTTACTAGTGTCCTCTGCTTTTCATGTCTTTTGCTTCTACTCCTTTGAAAACATTCATGCTCCTGGTTTCGTGACCCTCCTGTTTGTGGGCAATGACTGTCTGGTGTGCTTGGACTCTGGGAAGAATTTCTCCTTTTTCTTAGGCTTGAGGAAGGTGTTACTAAAGAAAGGAATGCTAAAGAGGCAGAGGTGTAGAGACAGTGCTTTACAGTGAGCCTCCAAGGGACAACTTGCCCTTCTTCAAAATGAGTGGAAGTAGTGATGGCGAACATCATGGCAGAATTGATGGGGAAGCAGGTCAGCACTGGCATTCAGAGGTGGTAGAGTGAAAAGGGAAGGTGTGGGTGGGCTGCCAGTATGGGGAGAGGGCTGTTGCGTGGTTATGTTTCCTGCTGTTGTCTTTAGGAGTCAGGCAGCTGGGGAGCTTTTGCCCCAGATGACGGAATGATTTCCATATGCTGATGAGAACATAGGTCTTTCCATGCAGAAAGCAAGCACCTGTGCTCTATGCCCACATTCAGTGTCTCGCTGCCATCAAAAAACACCCTGAAGTTGGTGGCTGTTTCTGGAGAAAACTGCTCCACTGAAACAGGAATTGTCTGTTCAGGCCCATGTGAGTGTGTATGTGGGCAGAATGGGGTGCCCCTCAGAGATGAATGTGCTGCTTCACCTATGAGATCTGTAGTAGAAAACTTCAGATGAGTTTGCTTGGAAAGTGAAGACCCTAAAAGCAATGGTGAAGAAGGTCAAGAAGAAGAAGGGTAAGTGTTGATGGCACCTGACAGAGCAGGTTCTCGAGATGTCAGCATGTCTCCATGCAACACCTTGAGGCACCCAGATGGGGAAAGTCCAGGAAAGACAAAAGGAAGAGGAACCTCCACTCAGCCAAAGAGCAACGGCAGACTGCAGTCTCCAGTCAAATGCTTCAAACCTGCAGGTGTGATGTTGTCAATAATTCTAAAGATGTGTCCGGCCATTGTCAGGGTGAACAGAGGCCTAGAAAGTGTCTTCTGCAGCTACTGCTCTGATAGCTTCAATTTTTTGTCCTGTTCTTGACACTTTAATTGTGTTTTTCCTCTTCTCATTTGTGGTGTTACCCCAGGTACTGGGCTAGCCCATATCTACTCAGCATCTGCTCTTCTACTGCAGAAAACTTTCCCTTGCTGGATTGCAGACCTCCATCAAGAGATCTGGGTTTGTACCATTGCTTCTCTGCAGGAGAATAATCTGCCAATGCACTGAAAATCTGTATTGTTTTTTCAAGCAAGTAAATATGAGAGTATCTTCCCTATATCTGCAGGATGTCAAAACTGTAAGTTGACACACTTAACTATTTGTGTAAATTCTTCTTTCACGTCAAGTCACTGTGGTTAGAAGCTGCTGAGAACCCAGGTGCTAACTGGTAGAAATACTACAGAAATTTATGAGTTGTAATTTTTATTCTTTAAGTCAAGAGAAGGAGGAGTGTTTTGAAAGGGGTTGACAAGAGCTAAGGGCAAGGTGAAAGTCATCCACTGCTCTCCCCTTGTCCACAAATCCAGTCATTTTATCATAGCGAGCAATCGGATTATTCGGGCATGACTGACCCTTGGTAAACCCATGCTGACTCTTCCTAATGACCTCCTTCTCCTGCTTGGACCCAGAAATGTGCACCAAGGGGCCTTGGTCCATGATTTTTGCAGGGGAAACAGTGAGGCTGTCCAGTCCGTAGTTCCTGATCCTCACTCTCAGACCCTTGTAGTCACTCTTGACTCCCCTGGCAGTATCATGGGCGCCCATGTGGATGAGCAGCAGGGAGTAATAGCTGGAGAGCCTTGGCGGTTTCTCTGCAACATCTTGGATCTGAGCCCCTGGCAAGCAACAAATCATTCTAGATAGCAAGCCAAGTAGGCAGATGGGGACTTCTGTCCTCCACAAATGGAAACCTACCACTTCTATCCCTTGCTGTTTCCTCCTGTCACTAATATGTGGTTTATGCTTGGACAACTCTGATGCTTCCGCAGGTATGATGTTCTGCTTCTCGCCTGCTGCTAGGGCACCGAACCTGTTCTGCAACTGTAGATTGGCAGGAGAACAGTGGAGAAGGAGCCATCTTCCATGTGCCAGAAGTCAGGTTAGGTGAGTCAATTATATTTAATTCAGTAAAGATTCTTTCTTAATTGTCTTTCCTTTTGATGTTTCTTATTACAAAGAATAAACAACTCATGCATTTATGCTACACTGCTACTTGTGGCCAGTCTTGATTCTTCAGTCAAGTAATGACAGGAAAGTCAGTCAACAGTTTCCAAAAATACATGCAAATCCTTGAATAGCTGAATGTTTTGCTGTCTCCGGCATTAGAATTATGGAGGAGGAGGAGGAGGAAGATTATTCTAGACAATACAGGGTGTAAATCTGATGGTTTGTTCTCTCCTGCAGCAAGAAGGCTCTGAATACTTGTCAGAGTGCAAGGAATCATCTTAAAGGCTAGTAAACCAAAAATACTAAGGACACTGCATAGCATGCTTCAAATCTGGTTGCTCTTGCAAATGTACTTTTCCCTTAAAATCAGTTTGTGAAGTTTGGGGATTATTTTTATTGTTTATTTGCTTCTAATTTAGTTGCTATAAACTAACTGCATAATAAATTCTCCATAATGAAATATTTGTGGACTATTGTATTCATTTTATGTGTTATACCTGCCTTTAGGGGCTTTTTACACATTTGTGTTCTTCGCTAAGTGAGTAAGACAGGAAGATTTTACTTTGGATCCCAGGATGTGGGGCTGGCCATGAATAAGTCTTGCAAGAAAATCTTTTGAATTTAGATAAACGTGAGAGAAACTTAGAATCGTAGAATGGTTTGGGATGGAAGGGACTTTTAAGGTCATTTAGTCCAACCGCCCTGCAGGGACATCTACAACTAGATCAGGTTGCTCAGAGCCCCATCCAGCCTGCCCTTGAATGTTTCCAAGAATGGGGCATCTACCACGTCTCTGGGCAACCCGTTCCAGTGTTTCAGCACCTTCATCGTAATTCCAGCAAGTAGATTTGTTCTTGAAATTTCCCGGCTTGTTACATAAGTCTTATCTTCCCATTTTGTAGTACCACATGAACAAAAAATGCTACAAAGCTTATACAGAGTGTTTTATTATTTTTAAAACCACAAGACCATATTTATGGACCTTAAACATAATTAATGCCTAATAGTGAAAATAAAGTGTACAAAAAACCCAAACAGCTCTCCCCCCACTAGAGCAGATGAAATGTTTTTTATTGAGGAAACGGGGCCTGTGCAGTTGTGCCCCGTGGACGGCAGCCACATCCAGTTCTGTTACCGGCTGTACACTGGCAACCTACAGATGCAGTGGCTTGCATTACAATTATGTTTTTGCAAGAGACCTCAGATAACAAACAATGTTTACAGTATGTTAGGTTCTGTGATAAAGCCATGCCTGGTGCCTGACCAGCACAATCTGTCCTGTCTTCTTATTTAACTCCATTTCTAACTCTTTTCCTGGGTGCGGGGCTCCCTAGTCTGTGTGTCTGTGTGTGTCTGTGTGCGCGCGCGCGCACAGGGTCTGCGTGGAGCAGCTGGGGTGTAGCCATGGGTCACAGCCACCCCTGTGTCTGTGGTGCAGCAACCAGAGCAAGTGAGAGTATGTGTCGGTGTGCTCTCTTCCAGCTGCCTTCCAAGCAGTCTGCAATTCCACTTTAAACAGCACATGTTTCCAAAAGGCAAAGATGGGGGGTGGCACTTCTAATCCAAACCTTTCCTACTTGTCCCTGTCTCCTAGCTGCTGTGTCCCAAACAGCTTGTGGCCTAATGACTAGGAAACCTTCCGAGGAGACAAGAAGCTACAGCTGTAGGCTGATGTTAGATTACCGCTTCACAACTGGGTCCCAGACCACCTTAGCTGTTCTCTGCTGGACCCTCTCCAATTTCCCCATGGCCATTTTAAACTTGGGGACCCATATCTGCACACAGATGAGGATTCATCAATAATACCAAGTAGAGGCAGCTAATAACTTCCCTCAGTCTGCTCGCCATGATCTTAATGTGGCATAGCATGTGATCTGCCTTATTTACAATGAGAACACGCTGTTGGCTTGTATTCAACCTGCCATCCCCTGTTACCTCCAAGTCCTCTTCAGCGGGACCGCTGTTCACGCAGTCAGTTTCAACACTGATTCCGTATTTTGCACTTCTTATTGAACTTCATGTTTCTGTTTTCCCTAATGATTAGTTCAGTGTTGAAGTGCTAGACATTTTTCACACTCAGCAAAAATCTCCTTTTATAAAAATAGCTAACAACTTGCTAAACACATTCACTTTATTATGCCCTCTTTTATGACATGCATACAAGCATTCTTCAGCTTTCTGGACTTCTAGCAATAAAGCTTTTGGGATGCTAATAGAAATTCATGACTTGTACTGTTGGCTCGCACCTAAAAAACCCTAGACAACCCTACTTCTATATTCTGTCAGAATAAATCCTATGTACAGCTACATCGCTACTATCTGCCTTGAGCTAGCTCAGACCTGTATTCCTCACTGAAGTGTCTCTTCCCTAGTCTATGTTATTCACATGAAATACAACCTTCCTGTTCATCTCAAATACTAATGGACTAAGGAGAAAAAACTGTGACGTAGTGCACGTGTACTGATACACTTCCAAAGAACCAACTAAACAGCTTCCTATTGACCCCTGTAGAGAGCAGCAGTTTTCTGATGGTTCCCAAAGACTTTCTGTCCTTGGTTCATAGCTCAACTACATTTCAAACACATTAAGTTTATTTTGAGCTCCATCTGCTACTTGGTTAGATGTGTAGGGGCCACAGAAGTGGCTTCCTATGACAACCTAGAAATATTTTCTCTGTTCTGTTTTTCAGACGGTCATGTGAGTGTCAAAAGTTTTACTAAAGTGAAGATGTCATGTAAACTGCTCAGTTCATCAAAGTGAACCATTATGAAAGTTTCCCTTTAGTAGAGATGCACAAACCTTGCGCTTCAAAAGTCCAGCAATGATGCAAGAATGCTGGTTTGTAAAAATAGTTGTGAGTGTAAATACATTATCAAACTCTGGTTGTAACTATTTAATTAATTGCAAATTTTTAGTGGAGGCATAAATGGAAAACAGGTGTTCTCTGCTTCTTAGACATCATTTACCACTTTTCTGATTTCTGTTTTATTTGCTTTACGGTTATTATAATAGCTGCCACCAACCACTCCCACTTCAGTGTGCTAACCATGACTCACATAAGTGCCTAATAAATTACATCAATGGGAAAGCAGATGAGCACATGAAAAGGAGGTGCAAAACTCATTAGTCATGCAGTTTCCTTTTCTGGGGATTGAATTGCCTGACAGAAAAGCATTGTGAGTGGCTCGTGCATCTGTCAAGTCCACCAGATGCCAATCTTATTCTTGCAGTTCTTGTGAAAGCTATTAATCAATATGCATTATTCAGTATTGTAAAACAGGACCTTAATTAAGCAGCCAACTAAAGCAGAAGGAAAAAGGTAACCACCCAATACACAGTGAGTTTCTTCAGACAAAGAAAATAGCATAGATTTTGCCAGTTGAAGCAATATTTACATCACAATTCATTTATTTCTTTTTCATACATTATCTTGCATAATGATGCAGTTGAGGACAGGTATTCTGGAACAACAAAGTGAAATGATTCTTTGTGTGCTAGACATCGATTTTGATCAATCTGCATGAAATGAAGTGCATCAGTGTACTAGATCAAAATCAGAAAAGGACAGTATTGCACTCTGTCCATATTGCTGGGGATGAGCCAGCATCTTCATTATAATCTGTGTGATTTCAGGGATTTATAGCATACCTATAATAATTCACCTAAGGCTGAAACTGTTTAAATCTCCGTATAGCCTTCCAGGATTTTTTTCTTTGTTTATTTTCACAGAAGGGACCCTGGTACATTTACACAGGAGCACAGCACATTTTTAAAAAAAAAAAAAAAAAGTCCAATTTTTTTTAAATCTCAGCAGCTGCAAAGGTGTTTTCTGTATGAAAGAGTCTCACTAAACTTGAGAGCAAAAAGGACTGCAATCTACTACAGCCATTCTCATAAACTGATCTCTTGATCAGATCAGACTACCATTTAGTGATAAAGTAAAAATGAAACCTGAAGACTGTACCAACACTAGCAAGTGCCAAAGCGAATCTACATTATCCCTTAGCCAGGAAAAAGAACTTAGGAGATCACTTATGACAACTTGAAGAAATAAAATAATGAACATGAGGGCTTTAAAGGAACAGTAGATAGAGAAAAAAACCCCAAACAGAAGATCTGAGCCCCATGAAGAGGTGTGACACATAGGGGTTTGTCTATCCTGAAGCCAGCTCTCTGAAGAGAGTGCAATGCAGGTTTTTGATGCCAGGACAAGAGTAAAAAATATGACTTCTGCTATATGAGGATGCATCGAGTCAGAACCATGTCTAATCTGTCTAAATGCTTGTTACTTTTATAACCTAATATAAACATGCCTCCCCTTCTCCCAGCACTTGTCTGCACTCAGGCCAAATGCAAATATAAACCAGCTGAATCAGGTGTCAGCAGCAGGTCCCTACAGCAGTTTCAAGAGTTCTCTTGTACTAATTTATCCAGCTACCTGATTTGAATTTGTAGCTGAGTTGCCTTGCTTACAGCTAACATGATATGTCAGTATTTCTTGGCAATAATGCAGGTGTACCCAAAAGGACAAAGCCATTTGAGTCCACTTTTAAGAATGCGTTGTTCAGATTAGTGCAGGAAGCGCTAACTAGCTTAAACGGACTGCAACACCTAGGCAGAACAAGAAAAAAGGGAAATAATCAGTAAGTGGTTTTTGCTTTCTGCTGT